AATCCCACTGGGGAGTTTTGGGACCCAGTGTAGAACATACATCAAAGCTATGCCAACCAAGGGGCAAGGAAATGGGGTGTATTATTCCACCAAAGTAACTGCCCTCATTAGCTGAGGGCTCCTGGACAGGTGGGATAGTTACTTTGTAGCACTTCCCACTTGCCCTGGACATTGGGAAGTGTACATGAGGACTTTATTCCACAGCCAGAAAAAAAAGGGGGAAAGTGTACATGAGGGCTTTATTTATTTATTTTACAGCCAGGGTGGGGAGAAGCCCTCAGGCAGAACCACAGATACTGGTAGTGAGCCTCCTTCCCATAGAGGTGAGTGCCAAAGGGCTGTGGGCAGGGCAATAACAGTGTGGACCACACTCTGCAGATCCAAGGGGACACTCTGGTCCATCCCTGCCCCCTCTCGGCTGTAAGAGTCCCCTTTTGCCTCTGCCTATTACCTCATTACCACCACATAAACATAAATGCTGAGTGTGAAAAGCAGAATCAAACTGCAGAGTATATAGGAATCCTTGGGAAACCAAGGTGGGAGCAGGTAAAATGATTCCGATTGCAGGACAAGATCAAAAATGAAAACAGCAGTAGCAGAGCTCTCATTTATTGAACACTAAATGCCAGGCTCTGGACCAACGATTTACACAGAGTCTCATTTGCTCCTGGCAGCAAAGCTATAAAGTAGGTTCAATTATCTTCTTAATTTTGCAGGGGCGGCATCGAGGTTTGTAAAGATTCAAACCCAGCTCTGCCTGCCTCAAAAACATTTGCTCTCAGCCATGGAACTTAGAGAATAAAACAGGAGGGGGCCCAGATGCATAGCAGCCTAAGACATCCCCCACCCCACCCCAGCCGCAGTCCAGGGTCGGGACTTAATGAATGCTTATTCACAAAGTGGATAGCAATCACTCAGGGACCCAAGCTGACAATCCCTTCCCGGTACAGGGTTCCACGGGCTCCAGGACCCGGTTTCCGCAGCCCAGGCTTGCCCGGATGGCTTCCGGCAAATCCCACTCGGGTCAAGCTGGGCGATGTGGGGGGGGGGTGTATGTGGGGAAAGCCAGGAAGCCCACTGCAGCCAAATATCCCATCTGGGAGGCACAGGGAGCAATAGCACGCAAAATGAAATAGCGTGGGACTCTGCTCCACAGCGGGCTTGAACGCGCGAGTTCGAGTATTTCCCAAGGGTCGCAGACCCCTCCCCTGAGGGCTCAGTTGCGCGGCCGGCGCCCCCCCACCGGACTTCAAAGCGCTCTCGTCCTCGCTGGTAGAAAACTCGCGGACGCTGGAGCTGAGAAAAGGCGGGCAAAGTTCCTTTTGATAAGTTATGAATGGGGAGAAAGTGTCTGTAGAACTCATTGTTAAAACCACGGAGCCCGAGACTCGGCCCGCGCCCGACCAATCCCGGCCTAGAGGCTATTTTGAAATAGCTCCGTTCTCGGCCAATAGGCATGCGGGAGGTAAAGCCCCGCGCAGGCGCCGGCCAATGAGCGCGGCGTTATGCTAAAAAGCCGGGGGGCCCGGCCCCACCGACTGTCAGAGGGTTAAAGATGGAGCCCGCGGACCAGAGAGCACCACGAGGTGCGGGATCGTACCGGTGGAGACGACGGGGGCGGATGACTGCGGGACCTCTCTCCCTCTAACTTTCTGCGTCATCCTCGGACCGGGATGGAAGGGGTGTCCCGCCGCGTGAGTAGCAGGGTCTGAGGTGGCTGGCCCGAGCAGGGCGGCTCTACCTGGCGGGAGTGTGGAGCCGGGCAGCCCGGAGTCCGGGCGCCTCTCCGGGTAGGAGACTCCAGAAGGGCAGGAATCCCCCACTCGCCCGTTCCTCTGAGCCGCTGTGGGCCGCCGGGCAGTGAATCTGTTGGAACAGAATGCGGAGCCCAAGTTGGGGGCCAGGGATGGGGGCCTGAGCCCGCAGGGATGCGTCGTCCCCGAGTGGGGCCACTCTTCTCCCGGACCCGTGGGCCGGGTGAGGGCGCAGTGTCCTCGAGCTGTACCCACCGCCGCAGCGGGCGCCAGTGGGCTTCGGATTGCAGTGGAGCGCGGGTCCCTCTCCTTTGTGTGTGTGCCCCCTCCCCCGTCCGCTCCCGCACCAGGGCTGGAGTTACCCCTCAGTCAGGGGTCTCTCCACCGCAATCTGGAGCGTGCTGAGGAAGGTCCTGATGCCCTGGGGTCCTGAAGACCCCGGGGATTGCAGCCCCACTAAAATCTCCCTTCTTGGCCCTGATGTCCAGGACAGGGCCTCTAGCCCCACCCACCCAAGGTTAAGCTTCCCATCCTGCGTGTATTGGGGGACGTGGGCGTCCCCCCTGCTGGCCGCAGGTGCTCTGACGAGGTTGCACTACTTTGCTCTGAGAAGCAGTGCAATGATATTGTCAAAGCATCTGGGACCAGCCTTGGGGACCCCCTCCCCCACACCTCCTCCACCTCCTTCCCAGCCCGGGCCCCTTGGGCCTGCAGGCCCTTCCCTTCCCCCTGCTCTTCTGGCTCCCTTCTCCATGGAAACTTGAGATCCTGGCCAGGCCTGGGCCTCTGGGGTCAGAGGGCACCCTTCCCCCAGGCGGAGGCCCCGCCCCTGTGGGCTCGCATTTCAGGTCTCAGATCCCCACCGACCACCGGGAGAGGCGCTGGCAGGCCTGCCCGACACTCTTTCCCTGTTGCACTACTGTGGGCCGCTGGGAGGCAGTGCAATGATGAAAGGGCATCGGTCAGGTCCAGCCCACCCACAGCGCCTGGGGAGAGGGAGCTCTGCTGCTTCACTCCACTTCCCAGCAGTTAGGCACAGGTCCGGAGCTGGGCTGGCCCCTCTATCAGAGGATTAGGTGAGTGGAGAGCTGGGAGATTGCCCCACAAGCTCTCGATCAGAGTCATGGCTGGACAGGTGCAGGGGCAGAGGCCCCCGATTCAGCGAAGGTCTGGTTTGAAGAGGAGCTTTCATATCAGCACCCTGGGTAAGACTGTGAACTCCAGATTTGGTCAGAGCCTTGTGGAGAAATAGAGACCCACTGCTATGCATGGAGGGTCTGTCTGGGCCTGGCTCAGACCCAGCTCACCCTTGACAATGTGGAGCTGAACTGGACCCAGCCTTCCTTGAAGGTTTGGGGAGGACCAGCCTCTGGAGAGAATGTTCTCCTGGGTTCTCACAAAGAGCAGCATTATCTGGGGGGTGTGGGTATGTGTGTGTGTGTGGGAGGGGGGCGGGTAGAGGGGCTTGGGATTTGAAGCCCGCAGGTGATGGCCACCAACTGCACCATCTTGTTCTCTTACAGGGAGATATACTGCCTTGAGCCTGCAAGAGGGACTGTGAGGTGCCTGGAGTGCTCACCCTCACAGCTGCAATTGGGGGGATTGGAGCTGAACTGCCAAGGAGCCTGGCCCCAGGCATACTGGCAGGGCTACTACCTCCACCATTAGGACCTGACACAATGCACAAGGTTTTTATGTGCCCAGTGACAGTTATTCAAGCCTGTCTGCTTGAGAGGAGGCCCAGGTTCCAGATGGGCTTTTGGGAGAACCCCTGACCCCTGACTGAGCACATTGGGATACCAGTTTCACCCTCGCCCTGGGGGTAGAAGCCCTGGCATCCATGGGGAGATAAGGGGCAATGATACATGCTCCTCTGCCTCTAGGCCTGACCCCTTGCAGTTCCTCCATCCCAAGGCCACTTGACTCAGGCCAGTCCTCTCTTCCCCTGGGTTCCAGGTGCCATGGCTAGAGGTGGCCACCTTATTCCTGTGAAGATTCTGTACCCACTGGCCAGAGATACCCCCACCTACCAATGTAGCTGTCTCCTGCCCTTGCTGGGGGAAGCTTGTAGACTCTGGACTGCTCAAATGCTCCCTCCTAGGGGAAGACTTTTCTGGGATCCACAGCATCCAATGTCCCTCCAGTAGAGCCGTTTAGATAGAAAATTTCTCCCTGTGGCTGAAGTCCTTATTAGATCAGGAACCCCTGAGGGTAGAGACCATGTCTTTTTTTAATCTCTTGGCAGTGCCTGGCACAGAGGAGGGGTCCATTGTGTTTTTTTTAAATACAAATAAACATATAAAGTGTGAAGTAATATTAGCATAACATGGGGGGGGGATTAAATGGAGGGGGTTAATCATGGGCCTGCTTGACCCCTCAGAGAATGTCCTGTTTATAAAAAGGCACATACTATATATTTTAAAGTAAAGTCTCATTTTGTAAGTCACATGGGGTTAGGAAGCAGAATGTATGTTTGAACCCAGGTGTATATGCCTGCCCACTAGACAGATACACAGGCCAGATCTTAATTGGTTGTCTCCAAAGCAGGATGAAGTGAGTGCCACCTTCTATGATGGGGGAGCTGAGGCTAGAGGGCTGGTGGTTTGGCCGTGAGAGGTGAAAAATCTCATTATACTTCTTAGGTGCAGTCCATGGATCGATCTCAGGGCTGATTTTGGAGTGTGGAGGGGACAGTAAGCAGTCCAGGGAGCACCCACCTCGTTAGTTGCTGGGGTGGATGGTGGTGTCAGCCACTGACAAAGTAGGAGAGGGGGAAAGAAGCTGTGTGCCAATCTGGATGTGTTCAGCGTGAGATGCCCAAGAAACGTCCCCAGTGGACCCTAGATGTGGGTCTGGAGCTCAAGGGAGGTCTGAGCTTGAGATGCAATGCAGGTCAGGGGTTATTAAGTCCCTCTGGGGTAGGAATTTCCAAGACGGTATGGTGGAAATGGGAACTTCTGAAACGCATAAGTTGCGGGTGGAGATGCCAGTGAAGAGGCAACAGCGAGTATAGAGCAAAGAAGTGGTTATGAAGGTAGGGAGAGAAGACAGAAGCTGGAGAGGGGTGGGTTTAATGCTGGCGAGAAGTCCGTGGATAGAGGAATTCCAGCTAGAGTGAAGTCTGGGGGAGGAAAAAGCAGGGCTCTGGAAGGAGGACCGGGAGGCTATAGACTATGAGGAGGGGGCGCATCCAGGATGGGGCTGGAGGTGGGGCCCAAGGGCGGGCCCCACGCATAGGCGGTCGCCGGGTCGAAGACCGGAGAGCGCAAGCCCAGAGCCGCGGGCATTATCACGTGCGGCCGTCTCACGGGATTGGTCAGGCCCGCGATCTCCAGGGGATTGGCTGGAGTGGTCCCGGCCTCTGCGTCAGTCACCAAGGGAACCTGCGGCGGCTGTGGGGGATCAGGGTGAGTGCGCCGCCGACAAGCCCCGGCCTTCGGGAACCGCCCCTTTCTCCCGACCAGGGGCAGGTGGGGTTGGCTCGTCCTAACGTCGCTCCGCCAGCAGGCAGCCTGGGCCTGCCCGCAGACCTTCCCGGATGGAGGTCCTGGACGAGTTCGACCCCGAGTTCTCCCAGAGTGTGACCTTCTGCCAGCTCATCTCCGAGGAGGACTTCGAGAAGCAGGCGGCGACTTACACGGAGCGCTCGCTGCGCCGCCTCTTCCACAGCCTCGATCGCAACCCGGGACTGGCGGAGAGGGTGGTGCGCAAGGGCAAGCAGGTCGAGTGCGAGCGGCGCGGGCTCCTTTCCTTCCTCTGGGTGCGGGCCGCCGTCTGGGCTGCGGGTGGGGTGGGGTGGACACCACGAGGGCGGGTGCTGTCACCACCCCCGCCCGCTGTCCTCGAGAGCTGAGCGGGATCGGAGGTGGGGGGAGGCGCCGTCGGGCTTAGCTGGATTTGCGAGGTAGGGTCTTCCAGAAGCCCAAGGCAGTACAGCTTGGGGAGTGCAGCAGCAGGCGTCTCATCCGTCAAGCTTCCTCCTGCCCTACTTCTTCCGCTGTTGTCGCAGGCGAAGTTCTGTGCAATCCAGGGGGAGCTGAACTGTTGCAACAGCATGGACGCCCTGGAGATGCACCAGCGGCTGGAGCAGCTGAAGAGGAGCATCCACCGCGTGCACCGCTACGCCCAGGGTGAGGCCCCACCTCTGCCTGGATCAAGTAACCCAGCAAACCTGACTCAGGACCCCATGTCCCTGGTCCTAAAGTCTTCATTATGAAAATGAACAAACACAAAACTAGAGACTGCAGTGAACACTTGAGTCACCCGTTACCCAGCTTCAGCAATTATCCTCATTTTGCCATGCTTGTTTCACTCTCTCTACCCCACTTTTCTTTTTTGGAGCATTTTAAGGGGTATCTTAGACATAACTGTATTCCTGAATATTTTAGAATGCTTCTTAATTAAAAAAAAGTTTCTGACATAATTACAATGTTATACCTAATATAGACAACAATTCCTCATGGTCCACAAAAAGTCGACACTTGATCTGTCATGTCAGGACCCAACAAGGTTCACACATTGGTTTGGGTGTGAGGCCTCTTAGGTTCCTTTTCACTAGAGGGACCCCATAATTTGTGTCCACATTGGGGCACTTGTGAAGGTGAAATGAAAGGGGGCCACATTAGTGACCACACAAGGCTGGCGAATGAGCATCCATAGACACATCTGAAGTCCCTTTTGATGTGGGATGCCCTCACTTTTCACTCCCTGCCATCAACTTGAAGAACGGTGATATCCTTCAGGGTATCCCACTTTATGGATTTACATCTATTTTCATGGTCACTGGTGGTATTTGCTTTGTCTCCCCTCTGCCTGTATTTCTTAGACAGTGGCTTTAATGCCTTGATTAGATTTGGGTTTAGTTATTTTGGTGTGTTTGTGTTCAGTGATAGGCTAAGCTAGTGGCAGGGCTACTTTCTTCTGCATCACATTGGGAGGCCCGGCTCACCTGGGGGGGGGTCTCACTTTCCATGATGCTGAGTGTGAGTGCTCCATGTCACCGTTTCATCTGATGACAAGATGCACACCACGTGTAGCTCTTACCACGGCTTCCTGAGGTAGCATTGATGTTACTTATCCTTGTTTTACAGAAGAGGAAACAGAGGCCCAGGGAGGTTGGCCAACATGTGCAAAGTCATAGTAAGTCATGGAGCCTGGACTTGAACTCAGGTCTGGGTTGCTCTGGGGTGCAGGCTCTTAGCCTCCAGAACAGTGCTCTGGCATTGGTTATTGTCATTCTAGATGAGCTGTTCTGATGGGCTGTATGAGGAGCTTGTTAACACCCACGTTGCTGGTAGTCTTCAACTTCAAACAGTAGAAATAGCCAGACTCATTGAATATGGGAGGAAGACCTAACAGGATCCTGCCACTCAAAAGATTCAGCCCCTGAGCCCCACCCCTCCCCTGTGAGACCTCCTCCATGTAGGTTTTCTCACAGAAGGTCCCTTTGCACACCTACAGCATGGATGACCCTGGAGCTGGGCTCACTGCCTGGGGCCTGGATACCCCCTGAGAGTACTGGCAGATTTAGGAGCTGTCCATGATGCTTGTGGGGGAAAGCAGGCAGCAGACAATCTGCCTAGGCAAAGACCAGCCCTCCTTGGCATTGACACTCTATCACTTCCCATGAAATTCTGCCCTCAAAGTCAGACAGCCTGCTTGTGGATCCTGCTGTGCCTTGTACAGTTGGAGCTTCCAGCTCCGCTTGTAAGATAGAGACGAAATTACCCTTTTCCTTTTTTTTGTGGCATTTGTGGGGTCAGTGAGATGGTGCGTGTTGATGTCTGTCAACAGTGGCTCTAGGCATTATGTGCTTTGGAGTGAGGCTACCTCCCCTCCTTGTTGGAAAGAGTGTGTGAAGACCCCACACCACCATATTTGACCTGCACTCTACCTTGTTCTGGCTGCAAGGTAGGCACTCACTGGCACCTTTTGTCACAGATGCCAAGAAGAAGAGAAGGAAGCTAAAACTGAAGAAACCAGAACCCATCCTCTTGCAGGACCGGTCAACCTCCCCGTGCCTGCCAACACTGCTGCCACCTCCACCACTGCCACCACCTGTCACTACCATGGCCTCTGAGGTGGCTCCACCACCCCCTGTCTACACTATGCCCAGGGTCTTTGGCCCCTTTCCTCCGCTACCCAGCAAGTCGGTCAGTGGGTGCATTGCTCCCTCCATGTGGTCCTGGGAGGGGCAGCCACTGTCCCCCTGCTCAGAACCACCCCCATGGCTCTCTTAGCCCCACAGCAGTGGCTCTCAGAACTTTGTTTTTAAGCAGCAGGACCATTTTTAAGACTGTAGGCAAAGTCTTGGGTAGAATGGCAATGGATAAAGCAGATAAAAGGAGGGCTACTCTGATTGAAAAGTCAGGGTGATGAATGAACAGAGTTCTACCTGCTTGGCCTCAGCAGAACAAGACAGCCCCAAGTGCACCGGGAAGAATTCTGGGGCTGCCAAAGGACTGGTGGAGGTCCCCCACCATGTCTCAGCCCCACCCCTGCCTCTCCCTGTGGGTGTCATTCTCCACACTGCCCTCTATGTGCCTCTACAGTGCCCCTTGTAACTGTCTGCCCCTCCTAAGTCCTGCTTATCCTGCACTCACTCCAGCCGGCCTGCCATCCCCTAGGCTGGGTTGGCATCCTCAGTTGGCTCCTAGCCCCGTTCCTGCTCCTTGCCCCCCAACACGAGGCTCAAGGTGGGCACAGAGGATAAGCCTGACATATTTGCCTATTGAAAGTCATATAGTTCTTGTATAAGGTGATTTTCTTCACAGTGAAGCCCCCAAACTTGTCCTGAGGTTACCTTTGTTTCCTGCAGGTGGAGAAATTGGAAGTTTCAAGTTCTGAAGTGAAATTAAACTGGACTGGCCTGTCATTGAACCCAAGGAGGTGAAAGGAATTTATTCTGGGCTTGAGGCAAATGAGAGAAGGGAGCATTTGGGGGAGCATGCCATGTGCCAGGCTCAGCTATTATTTTCTCTCCGCCCCTTAGTTAATCCTCACCACAATCCTGAGTGATTAATCTCATTGTTCAGGGGAGGAGTCCGGGCTCAGAGATCTGCTCTGTGTAACGGAGTCCGTGTGCCCATATCAGAGGTGTCCTATGTCAGAGGCATGCCCACTGAGGTTGGGGAAGCCATGTGTAGGAAGAGCACAGAGCTGATATCCCCACCTCTTCCCTGTCTTACAGCCGCATTATTGATGTGACCCCGTTGGTCCTCAACCCTGGAGGCTTCCATTTCTCGTACCTGCCCGGAAACAGTGCTCACAAGCTCCATTGCCCTGGCTTCCCCTGGTAAGCATGATTCTGAGCCTCCCCGGGGTCAGACACCATCCTGGCTCAGCCCCCGCCCCTCCTCTAACTGGCATTGTGGTGGTGAGGCCGAGGGCTAAACAAATGTTCTTTATGATGGTCCCTTCTACTTCCTGGAAGAACCTTAATGTAATCAGGGTTGCTGGGACAGTTGCTCCCTCTCCCTAGGGTTTGTAATAGTGAAAATCTGAAACAAACAACCCAGGGGCCAACAGAAAGGGAATGGTTCCATCACTTGTGGGAAGCCCTATGATTTATATACATGTGTGTTTTGCAAAGCAGGGAATTACTGAATAAGGGTTTTCTTGAGAAAAAAAAAACAACACCTGTTATTTTCCTTACAGTTGTTTAGTACTTCCTATATCATTGAGTGTTATTCCAAAATATGATTTAGACTGGCAGTTTCATTGCATAATATCTCAATAAAGCTGTGTCTTTTTCAAAAAAGCTTTATTGAGACATTATAAGCATACCATATAATTCACCCACTTAAAGTATACAATTCAATGTTTTTTAGTATATTTAGAGTTATGAAACCATCGCCACAATTTTAGCACATTTTCATCACCACAAAAGGGAACCCCTTAGCCATCACTCCTCCCTTTTTCCCTCCAGACCCTGGCAATCATGAATTATACTCTATCTCTATAGATTTGCTTATTCTGGGCATTTCTTATAAATGCAATCATAAGATGTATGGACTTTTGTATCTGGCTTCTTTCACTTGTTGTACTATGAATCATTTAAAAATGTTTTTAGAGCAGTTTAGGTTCACAGTAAATGTGAAGTGAAAGTACAGAGTTCCCATATGCCATCCTGCCCTCTCCCCACACCCAGCATCCCCCACTATCAACATCCCCCAACAGAGAGGTACATTTGTTACAAGCTATGAACCCCCACTGACACCTCATGATCATTCAAAATCCATAGTTTCCATTAGGGTTCACTCTTGGTGTACATTCTATGGGTTGAATTTTTTTATGGTTAATAATATTCCGGGCCAGCCGAGTGGCTCGTTGGCTAAGAGTTGGCTTGGGAGCGCGAGTTCTGAGCAGCAGGGCCACCAGTTTGGATCCCGCATGGGCCAGTGACGCTGCGCCCTATACAGCTAAGATGGTGAACAACAGCTTGACCTGGAGCTGGGCTGCAGTGAGTCGCCCGCGACCGCATAGGCTGCAGTGGGCTACCATAAGCTACCGTGAGTGGCCGGCAGCCAGTGTGAGCTGCTGTAAGCCGCCGTTAGCGGCTGTCCAATGGCTGGTCAACCAATCTGCCTCAGCTGGGAAGAGCGCAATGATAATAACAACATGGGCCAGTGAAGCCATGTCCTCCACAACTAGACTGAAGAACAAAAGAACAGCAACTTGTCTGTTCTCCTTCCCCAATTTCCCAACGCTATTTCCTCCCCCAATTTCCCAATAAAATCTTAAATAATAATAATAATATTCCACTGTATGGCTATACCACATTTTATTCATTCTCAGTTAATGGACACTTGCGTTGTTTCCATTTTTTGGCTATAATGAATAGTTATGAATATTTGTATACAAGTTTTTTGGGTTTTTTAAGATTTTATTGGGGAAGGGGAACAGTGTTGGGAATTGGGGAAGGGGAACAGCCAAGTTGTTGTCAATCTTAGTTGTGGCGGGCACAAGTAGCTCAGCTTTAAGTCCAGTCACTATCTGGCCGCCCTTGGGCAGCTCGCGGCCACTCAGCTCAAGGTGCCGTGTTCAGTCTTAGTGGCTGGTGGGCATAGCCCACCATCTCATGCGGGAGACCGAAACCTTGTTGCTAAGAGCACACGTTGAGCACTGAGCAATCCGGCCACCCATTGGCAGTTCAGGGCAGCTCAGCTCAAGGTGCCGTATTCAGTTTTAGTTGCAGGTGGGCATAGCCCACCATCCCATGCAGGAGTCTATCCAGCAACCTTGTTGTTAGGAGCACATGCTCTCACCAGCTGAGCCATCCTGCCACCTGTTGGCAGCTCAGTAGCAGCTCAGATTGGGTGCAGTTCACTGGCCCATGTGGGAATCGAATCAGCGACCCTGTTGCTCAGAGCTCTCAGTCTTAACCAACTGAACCACTCAGCTGGCCCCCCAAAATGGGTTATTTTTAAATTGGTTTTTAAAAGTTTACAAAAGCAGAACATATTCCATGAATAAAAGTTCATAAGACAGAAATGCATACATAAAATATGAGTCCCCTGCTACTAAGAGTTTTGTGTGTACCCTTCCAACACACACACACACACACACACACACATGTGTTAATTTCTTTAAAGATTTTATTGGGGAATTGGGGGAGGGGAACAAACAAGTTGCTGTCCTTTTGTTCTTTAGTCTAGTTGTGGAGGACGTCGCTTCACTGGCCCATGTTGGTATTATCATTGTGCTCTTCCTGGCTGAGGCAGATCGGTCACCGGCCCCTGGACGGCCGCTCATGGTGGCTCTTGGCAGCTCACGCCGGCTGCTGGCCGCTCAGTAGCTTACGGGAGCCCACTGCAGCCCCACTGCAGCCTACGCCATCGCTGGCGACTCCCAGCAGCCCAGCCCTAGGTCGAGGTGCTGTTCACCATCTTATCTGTAGAGGGCGCAGTGTCACTGGCCCTAATGTGGGATCCAAACCGGGGTCCTGATGCTCAGAGCTGGCATCCCAAGCCAACTCTTAACCAACGCGATGCTCGGTCGGCCCACACATGTTAATTTCTTAACCAAAGCAGGATCATATTGCATGTACTTTTCAGCAACTTGCTTTTTTCCATAGCTGTGTCACTGGGGAGTCTTATTGGGATAAACAGAGCTACATCATTCCTTAAACAGCTGTGGAATAGTCCACTGCATGGCTGTACCTTGATTCCTGATGGGCATTTTGATTGTTTCCAGATTTTCATAATCACAACATTGCTGCAATGAGCAGCCTTGAACAAACATCCATAGGAGAGATTTCTGGAAGTAGAAATGTGTTGGGAACCATCCCACAACCTGGGGGTGTGTCATGTGTACCTCTTATGGACCTGTGTGCTGATGTCCTACCTAATGGACATATCTTGGCTGTCTCCTGCACAGGACCTCGGCCTGTAGTGACTCCCTCAACACCGAGAAGACACCATCCCCTCCTGTGAAGGCCTCCAACTTCACTCCGCCTGTCCTGCTCAAGTTCCAGCCTGTGCCCAGACCTAAAGATGACTCAGAGAATGACCCTGGCAGCGCAGAGTCTGTGCCCCACAAAAAGGACCCATAACTTCTTCCCTACAGACCATGCAGAGGAATGAATAAAGTTCCCATGGAGGTGGCTTCCTTGTCCTGGATTCCCTAAGGGCTGTGCAATCCAATGGGCTCCCTCAAGCCCGAAGAGGTTGTTAGGGTAGTGCCATCCTGAGGCCCAAGCCTGCATAGAGTAGGTGGTCAGGTCAGCGCTACTTGCTTGCCCTCTAACATGGGAATTCTGCCATGTGCACTTTGAAAAAGAAATGAGTGAGGAGAGAGTGCTACCCTTCCCTGCAGTGCCTCTGTGGCTCCTCTACCCTACTGAGATGCAAGTGTACCATTTTTTCCTATGCCTGGCCCCTAATCACAAGCCTTATCTGGGTGCAGGTTTAGAATCAGTGATCTGTTCCCTCCCTGGAAGAAAATTAACTGATGTGTCAGTTTCCAACTTGGCATATCCCTAAGGAATTCCAAAGACAATAACTCATTATTGCCTCACACTCTGACCTTAGAATCAAACCTGATGTGAGATGTGAGTCCTCACAAAATGCTTGATAACTGTTGGACATTAGCAGATATTCATTGAGCCTTTGTGTATGCTCCATTCCTTGCTTGGGACTGGAGATAATAAACCAAGCAGTTAGGGTTTCTGCCCTCAAGGAGCTGACTATATCCATCCTCCTGTGTGTGTGCATGTGTGTGTGTGTGGGGTGTGTGTGTGTGTGTGGGGGGGTAAACCAGTACATAGGTCAAATTAATACAGACTACAAATTGTGATAAGCCCTATAGGAACTGAGATGGAGATGTATGGGGTGGGTGGTCAGAGAAGATCTCTCTGAGGAGGTGTAATTTATGTTGAAACCTAGAAAGGAGGAGTCAGCTATGAGATGAGAAAGGCAAGGACAACTGGCTTTGGCTCACTAGGTGGATAGTAGTACCATTGTAGGAGTGGGGGAATGGAGAATTCTGCTTTGATGAAACATGTTAAAGTTGAGATCAGTGGGTTCCCGAGTAGAGGTCAGGAATCTGGAGCGCTGGTATTTCGGTGTTGGGAGTCAAGGGGTATTTAAAGCCACTAGCCTGGGGAAGATCAACCAGTGCTTGTGTGTAGCCAGGGGTCCAAGGCTTAGGCTGGGGCACACAAACATAGTGATCTGGTTGAGGTAAGGGTCCTCTAAAGAGAGACAGAAGGGATCAGGGAGGGCTTTTGACCTTTAGGCTTGATGGCCACCTGCCCCTGGGCCACCAAGAGAGGGCCTTGGAAGCTGTAGGGATGGAATAGGTGGAGAGAACTGGGAGGTGAGTGTGTAGACAGCAAATGTGGAGGCCTCTGCCACCAAAGGGTACAGTGATGGGGCGGAGGCTGGTGGGACTTAAGACTCCAGGCTGATTTTTATTTAAAAGACCTGAGAACCCAAGTCAAACCAGTGCTGTTTGTTTTGTTTTGTTTTTTTCCCCTAAAGATTTTATTGGGGAATTGGGGGAGGGAACAGCATTGGGGAATCGGGGAAGGGGAACAGACAAGTTGCTGCCCTTTTGTTCTTCGGTCTATTTGTGGAGGACATGGCTTCACTGGCCCGTGTTGGTATTGTCATTGCACTCTTCCCGGGTGAGGCAGATCCATCGACGCCCATTGGACAGCCACTCACGGTAGCTCAAGGCAGCCCACTGCAGTGGTCGCTGGCAACTCCAGTGGCCCAGCTCCAGGTGGAGCTGCTGTTCACCATCTTAGCTATAGAGGGCACAGTGTCACTGGCCCTCATGAGGGGTCCTAACGGCGGCCCTGCTGCTCAGAGCTGGTGTCTGAAGCCAACTCTTAACCAACGAGCCACTCAGCCGGCCCTAAACCAGGGCGGGTTTTGAATAGGGATGGCACTGATTGGAGCTGGGGAGGTAGGCGAGGTGCTCCGGAGAGAGACCCCCCCGAGAATACGGGGCTTCAAAGTGGAGGCAGCTCAGCCCGGTCAAAACGGGAGTCCGACTGGGAACTCAGTCAGGGGCCGACCGCAGGCGTACCGACGTGCTTGGCGCCGGGACCACAGTTCTGGGCAAGCCCAGCGCCCGCTTCCGGGGCGGGACCCGGAAGTAGTTATGGAACTCCGCTGAGATACAGCGTACAGGGTTGTCTGCTGTTTTTCCGCTCTCACTGGTCCTGCCACTGCAGCCGCCATGGGGAAGCGACAGCATCAGAAGGACAAGATGTAAGTTGAGCTTCAGCCGGGAGCGGGGCCCCACTCTGTCTCAGTCTTCGCCTGCCCCGCACGCTGCGCCGCCCCCCTTTCTCTCTCAGAGCTGGTCTCCAGAGCCCCTCTTTGATGGCGTTTCCTCCAGGACGCCTCCGCCTCTTCCCCAGCCGCTGAGGTCTGTCGGAATCCCGGCTCTAGTATACCATAGGTGTCCTCACCTGAGCGCGGCCCTCCCACCGCCTCGGCGCCGCGCGGGCGCAGTTCCTTGGACTTAGCTTTTTGTCCCGGACCGCGCCCCTGCCCACCCGCGAGTTCCGCTCCTTGAATTAGTCCCTCTCTCTTCACCTCCAGTCTCTCGCTGTGTGCTGGTTCGCGGCGATCAGCCTACACATGCTACAGAATCTTCCAGTTTAAAACAAACCAACCATGCCCATATTCCCTTCCAGCTTCCACCGTGTTTCCTACGTGAAAGACCTGTATCTACTTGCTGTTTTCTGCTGTCTTTTGAAACCACTCCAGTCAGGCTTTCTTCGCCCCTCAGCACTACTCTTTGTCAGGTTCCCAGTAACTTCTACGTTACTAAATCTAGTGGTCAGTTCTCAGTCCTCACTTTGTTGGTCTTGTCAACAGCAGTTGACCGCCCCTCTCCGTTTGAAGCCCTTCTTTGGTATCTGGAACACCACTTGCTCTTTATTTTCAATCTGCCTCAGTGGCCTCTTTTCTCAGTCTCCTTTGCTGGATCCTCTTCCCCTTCTCCCAGAACTCATAGGTCAACAGCCCCTTGGTTTCTTCTACATTTACATTCACCCTGGGTGATCTCTCCAGTCTTGCAGTAGTCAGCTGCTTATTCCACATCTCCACTTGGAGATCTGATAAGCTTCTCAAATTTAATATGTCCTAAACTCTTGATTTTTCAGCGCCTGAGCCTGCCCCTCCCCCATCTTCCCTATCTCAGTGGTCACATCGCTACTCAATTTGCTCAGGTCAGAAGTCTGGGAGTTAGCCTTGGTGCCTCTTTCCCTCAGCTCTCTCTTCCTCCAGTCCATCAGTAAGTCCTGCTGGCTCTTCCAGGAACTGACCACTCACTTGCCCACCAATTTCCACATAGGTGGAGTTTATGCTACGCCAACTCCTTCTTGGACTTTTGTAGTCACTGGATTTCTGCTGCCTCTTTTGCTTGTCCCCGTACACTCAGCAGTCAGAGTGATGTTTTGAGGATGGATGGTAGATCATGTCAAGGCCCTGCTCCAAACCCTCCGACAGCTTTCCATCCCACAAATACAGAGAGTCCTTACATGGCATGCCAGACCCCTTGTGATCAGACCACTGTGACCTGTGTCTCCATCTACTGCCACATGTTCCCCATGCACACTCTTCTTCAGTGACTTTGCCCTTGTTTGGGAACACAACAGCTTTTTGTGCCTCAGGATTTTTGTGCATGATATGCCTGCTTGGTCCCTCTGCCTGGAAAGCTCTTCGTCCACATCTTCACATGGCTAGCTCCTTCTCATCACCAACCCATCTGTTAATTTTAGTTCATTTCCTTCAGAGCAAAGCACGACTGTTTGTATTTGTTTACCAATTTGTGTATCCCCATGTCTGTTGTGTTTATCATTGTGTGCCTGACATAGAGTAGGTGTTTAATAAGCATTTGCTGAATGATTGAAATGATTCAGTTATCCATTACTTCCAGAAACTCTGTCCTGTCTATAAAGAGGATAGTAGTATGATTCTGTCTCTCTTTTTCAGGTACATTACCTGTGCTGAATACACTCACTTTTATGGTGGCAAGAAACCAGGTAAGGCATAAAATTCTCCTGTTCCCCTCAGTATGTGTGGGGGTGTAATTAAAAAATGATGTCTTTGGGGCGGCCGATTAGTTCAGGTAGTTAGAGCGCAGGCTCATAACACCAAGGTTGCCGGTTCCATCCCTACGTGGGCCAAGGAGCTGTGTTCTAAAAATGAATAATTAACAAGAATATGGAAACTGTTAGACAAGTGGGCTGAGGACAAAGAAAATTCAGAAAAGAGGAAATACACTGAGCATAAGAGAAAATGTTTAATTTTAATGGTGGATTTTTTTTTTTTAACATGGGGGAAAATAACATTTTTTTCTCTTTCAAGTTAATACAGGCAGGCATACCTTGTCTCACTGTCCTTTG